CGCGTGTGCGTGTTGGGCTTCGTAAATCAGCCCCATACTGTTTTCTAATGCCTGCCCAGTTTAGTTTAATTTCCATTGCAGAGGTAGGTCTTAAGAAATAAATTCTCTTTTTACACTTCAAAAGACTGGAGAAATTATGTTCTAAAATAAAACTATGTTGGATTCAGCTTCTGTGTCTGATTAAGGAGTTAAGCTGTCTGTGAATTCTGCTCAACACATGGCCATACAATATTCACAGACTGGAATCTAAGTGTAATGAACCAGGCCCGTCTGGTTGGGGGTGAACTGGATCTCAGCTTCAGTATTGGTGGAGCCGATTGAAAGGTAATGCGTTTCTAAGTTAAGCAATCTGGTAAAGTCAGTGGAAGGAGGTAGAAGGTTGTAGCAGGTTATTATCTTGGGTAGCACTATATCGATAACCTGGTATTTTGTGGCATAATGTACAGATACAGTCTTTTATCCTATAGGAAGCAATTGCTTTGAAACAGTCAATTGAGTAAGGTTTAAACAGCTGCTGCTGTATACTTGCAGTTTATGAGAATTCGGTCCCACAGTGCCACCTGGAGGCTATTCAATGAATTGCTGTTTTTTCCCCATGCAAAGGGAATCATTGCTGAGGAAGTTACTGGAAGAAGTTTCAGTATGCCCGGGTTGAGTGGGAGGAAGTGGCCGCTGAGGCCAGATAGAAGGGGCACTCGTCCGGCCCAATAGTAATAGGTTCGGTGCGGAGACTAGGAGGTCCTTGCCTGGCGTCCTTTACACTTGTACGAACACCAGGCAACTGAACCCGTCGGCTTTAAGTAGAGGAAGGGGGAGGAGCCGCCTGACATTTTTGCTGATGACATCGCTGGTTCCCCGACAGAGCCGAGGGAAGACCCAGAACCGGAACGACGGGTAAGTTCGTTACACTAAGAACATACTGTGTGTCATTGCCCAAAGTGGCAACAGAACAAAAAGTTATGTCTGTTTGATAGGTGCAAATACTTGTTGATCAGGTCAGAAATTCAAAGCTCTCCTGTGTCTTGAAACAGACTTCTGGGTTAACTCAGAGAGCCATCCTAGATCGTATCTCAGACTACTGAATGATTGGTGTGCATGTTGGGTAGAAAAGATTAGAGGGTTAGTCTGAGTAGTTTTGCAAAGGACAACTGAGCAAGGCTGACACCACTCAGTCCACAAATATGCTGTGTGTTTTCAGCCCACAACAGGACTTAGGAGCTAAGTGCTTTCCTGAAAGATCAACAGGTATTTTTTTTGCACTTGCAGAATCTTTAACCACCTTCTGTCCATGGCCGTTCCTTAACGGCCGGATGGGAGCCTTATAGGAGCGGGAGGGCGTCTTAAGACGTCCTGCCCCTCCCCCCGCTCATGTGCGGCCCTCGTCGCGCACACGAGTGGGGAACTGTTAGAAAATTAAACATCCAGCAATGGCTACATTCAAGCGATCAGGCGTCTCTAGAGAGCCCCCCTGCCAGTCCTGAGATCTGCTGTGCCCAGTGCGGCTGGGACAGTACACAATCTCCCTTTGATCTCCTCTCCTGTCCCCGAATGCAGGAAGTGATGTATATTACATAACTTCTGTATTCCTCTGTCACTCTCCGGTACAGAAGCCGGTGTGGTCGTTTTCGCGGGCGCGTTTGGTGTCTATTTACCTGACATGACCCCCGTATTTTATATTTTACCAAAAAATCGGGGTGATAATAAATGGCTCATAACATTTCATAGGGAAACAGGTTTTTTTTTCAAAATTTAGGGTACTTTTTTGTTATATAGTAAAAAATAAATAAACTTTGCAGGGAAGTCTGTTACAAGCTTCCAATGGTGCCATAAGTCATATGACCAGGCATCAGAAAATTATAATACTGGCTAGAATTCTGGCCCAGTTTTTTCCCAGTCTCACCATAGCTCATGTCTGTCCGGTATCATAAACTAAGGTGTGTAGCCAACATCTCAAAATTATATACCAAATGTGTCCTTATCAAGTTTATCATATAAATGTCAAGTTATACAACTCATTAATAGAATTAGAATGTAATTTTGGGGAGGCGGGGTGTGATTTAGGGAAGAAGCATACTTCTCAAATTATAATAGATGTCGTTCATCTGATGGAATTTAATATTTATTTGATATCTAACCTTTACACAAAGAAATCAAGTATCCACAAAACTTACTCCCAGTATTGCTTGCTTGGTAGCTCTGTTGTGTTGTCCGAAATACAAGTAAGATTTAGTTCATGCACCGAAGACATGTTAATAGATATTGTAGCGTTGTCCAAAATTACATTGCAGAAACCTGAAAAAAAATCAGTTTCCATCTGAATTATTATGATTTATAAAGATATTTAATTCAGGACAAAATCCCACCTACCATGTTTGCTGCCTTGACAGTTACTATCTGCCCATTCATAGCAATCACTCCATGGCAGATAACTTCGAAATGAGGAAAATAAATAAAATAAGCTGTAAGCTATGATAACATTGTAGTATATAGATACAAGGGTTGATATAATCACCATAGTGAATCCAACACCTAAAATTAAAAAAAAAAACAATATTCACTAGTTACACATAATATAAAATATTTCTTATCAGGAGGAATATTAATGTACCATAAGTAACATACAGTACTTAAACTGGAAAAGATACATCTTAAAATTAATTTCTAAGATACTCCATTAACTTTGTTTAGCATCTAACATTGTTGCTGGAGAATTTTCTTAATGATCGCAGTTACAAAATGTTTGGCGGAGAGCACCTACGTGGACCTGGTTATTAAAATGAATAATATGTTCTGGGACAAAATATTTTGTATACATGATATGATATGATATATTTCACAAACACATGCTTTCTTATTTAAATAAAATGAATATATAATATAACATAGCATTTAACTATACATAGTATATATAGTACTGTAGTATAACGAGATATACTGTATTATAATATGATTTAAGTATAATGTCACCCTCTAAAAAAATAAAACAACTCTACCATATGTCCTGCTTGAAGCTTCATGCTTTTACATGGGTACATAACTAATTCTAAAAACTCTTGGGTGGTAGTTCAGTAGCTCTTGTATATTAAAATTGAATTAAATTCTTTTTTTTGCTTTAAGTCCATCACAGAATCTTGGCAGGGCTAAAATGAATAATGATCAAGTTAGGTTAGTGTATAAAAAATTAGGCTTCCTTCCAGCATTGCACTCATTAGTTCACAAAGCTGAATTGCACTTTATCTGTGGCAGGATGTTTCAATGTCTTGGAGTCGGAAGCACTAGAGATAGACTAGAGATGAATGAACTTTTACAAATCTGTTCCATCATTGCTCCCACTCTGTTTCCAACGTCCAATCTGCCATGTTCTAAGCATGAGATTTGTTGGTAGGCATGCTTTTTTGCTTATTTTGCTTTTTGATTTAAGTTGAAATAATTACATTCTGAAAACTCTTACTGATGTCAGGTCACCTTCATGGATGCCAGTCTGGCACACCAAGCCAAAAAGCTGGTAGTAACACAGATCAGTAGCCTCATAGATATTTGCAGATGTTTACCTTTTGATAATCAGCCTAATGAAGGCACATATTGAATCTCACTTAATGTTGGAGTTATATGCTTATATCTGACATTTTAAAACTTGTGTTTCTTATCAGGATCCTGACATGATAGAAATATGGGAAGTTGCCATTGCTGACTTGCTTAGGAAAAGTGCATTTTCCAGAGCTGTCCGCTATATAATTATTTCACTACTTTCACCTAGAACAAGCATATACATATCAGGAGCACCAACACTTCACTGGCTGAATACATTTTCTGGATCACTGACTGAGTATTAAAGCAACAAAAAGAATGACAGGAATGGGGCATCTTCATGTCTCCAAGTTAGCAGTGTCACACCCATATTTAGGTCTTGAAATGTTCTCTTTAAATGGTCAATTAAGGTTAAAAACAAAGTGCACAGCGAGATACTTATGACATAATGAAGACAGACTTGACTGCTCAAATAATAACAATATGTGGTAAATTATTTTACTTAGTAACTCGATGCTTATAAATGTCACAGTCTGATTTTGGCAGCTCAGGATGGCTGTTTCTTCAAACAGGTTCTTCCAGCCTGCTTAGTTTTTCCAGTAAAAGAATTACAGAATATAAAATAGTCTGTAATAACAAAACAGTAGATGAATATAAAGGTAATGAGGATGGAAATGTGTATAGCCAAGCGTGTCATGGTACACAGGAAATGTATTCAAACTTATGAAATAAGGGGCAACTATGTGGCAGCTGATCACAACAATCAGATTGCAGATTGACAGTTTTACAGGCTGGCCTAGGCTGCTGAGGATTCCTGAGCAAAAAAAAAACCTATTTGATTAATTCCTCATTTTATATTTGTGGCATACTATGCCATGTTCATGTTAGGATGCCACATTTGAGTATCACCTGAGGCAGCTCCATCTACTCCCTGACAGAAGATTCTACTATTTATTTGTCTACATGTACATGTACCTGTAACAAAAATGTTCCCAGCAGTGTAGAATGCTTATGTGCCACCCGCCTCAGGAAATAGTCATAACCATAGCCTAGACTATCCAGTATATTTCACTATTTAAAGAAATATAGAAGAGTGACAGCAGAAAAAGAACAAGTGGTTAATTAAGGAAAACCCCCTTTTTTGTATGATTATAGACCTATGTTCATCCTAAGATTGTTTACATTCACATAATGTTGACTGGTTTATTATTTCTGTGGTAAGTCTGTCCCAAGCATCAACTTTTTTATTAATACCGTCTTAGGTTTGTTTTTAAAGTGACTCTAAACTCAGGAGTTAAACCTTAAAAATGCATTCAAGTACCCTATCTATTAACCATACTGGACCTTATTTGTGTATCACTCAGCTGTAGATCCTCAAATCATTTCTGATTTGATGCTGACACTGTCCTTTCTTCTGGAGGGTGGTTACTTTTGTTCGCCATGGTCTCTCTGTGTGTTGTAAAGTAGCCACTGATCCAAGCTGGCTCTCATGATGTACTACAACCTCAATACAAATTAGTAATTTATATGTGAGATTATAGACCATCACGGGAGTGAGTTTGGAGTTTGAGAGTTTGAGTCCCTGTGTCCTTGAGCTTGACATTATACTGAAAATGCTCCCCTCCTGTACCCTTTGCACATCCTTATGCTCAGTATACATTGGTAGATTTTAATATGAACTTTCATACAAAAAAAATCTCCTCAGAACATTTGATAATGCCATCAGAGACTTGTAGAATGTCATTTAAAATTTATTTTGACTTTAACATTTGATTTCTGAAATGAATTAATTTTCTTAAACGAAAACCACATTCACTGATATTTTTCATCCTGCTCCTTTGATTTTATTTTGTCACTATGGTCAAACTCATCATCATAAATGTAACACCATTAACTATTAGAATTTTAAAACAACATTCTGAAAACGAATTCTTCAGAAGGAAATTTTACTGGTTTGTGTCCTTTCATTAATGTATTTAAAGCCTTCCGTCATGTCTCTCTTCTGGTTCTTTCCATAAGGCTGTACCTTTTCAGTTTCTGCAGTGTGTCTGGTTTGTCAGTTCCCATGTACTGCCCTTATATAGCTGCACCTATCATACACGTTAGTTGGATCTGGTGCACATCATTTTCACTTTACCTCCAAAGTTCAGAACATTGTGGCTTTGTGACATCTCTCTATGAGATACTAATCTCTTGTGAACATACCGTATGCAAGTGACATTAATACTTTGTGAAATACAATAGTGCATGGTTTGACTAGACAAAATGTAATATATATATAGGCAGACTATATTAAACAGAATGATATTTGCATTTAAAACTAATTTTTTGTAAAGGATTCTGATTGTCATAGTTTGCTATGGCTTTCAGAGATTTTGCACAGTGAATGAGGAACATATTTTAACACCAAAGGTAGACAATACCCATAATGCTACAATATACCACCTCATAGGCAGCAATGATCAGGTTGACCTTAAAGTTAACCTGGCTGGTGGCTGCCATTGCTGACCTTCTTCTAAGAATGCTAGCTACCAGGCTGTCATTCTGGTGGTGATAGCGAAAGGGAGTGGCTGGGTAGTGGTGGTGTACACAATTTTGGTAGAATGGTGAGAGTGGGGGGCACTACTGGAGAGTTGGTTTGGTGGAGTGGGTAGTTGTGCAAAGTGATGAGGGGGATAACCTTATTT